AAGAGAGAGAGAGAGAGAGAAAGAGAGAGAGAGAGAGAGAAAGAGAGAAAGCATGGTGAGAGAAGTGATGTACTTCATATACTTACGACATGTTTTTCTCGGGCACCTCCTTGATGGCAATCTTCACCTGCGTCATGAGATCCCTCGCTGCGTACACGACCCCGTACGTTCCCTTCCCAAGCACCGTCTTCCTTCCCGACTCATCCTGCTCGTACTCATACTAGAAAGCAAGCACGAGAACAGTGTAAAAAATACACGGGGGCTCGGGGCGATTTAGCCCCCGAAATGCCAAAAAGAGCCCCGAAAATGCCCAAAAGAGCCCCAGTAAATTTGCATAGAGTTCAATGCAAACCAAATTTTAGAGTGCTATTTTCATGCACGCGAGCTTGAAAAGTAGCCCCCGAAAAATATATTTTAATTTTTTCCCTGCATGAGAACAGGTCGAGATGTTTTTGGAGAGGAAATATTTCAATTTGCGTCTTCGGTTTGCGTCGCACACTGTCCTGAGAGGGGGGTCTGGGGGCATGCCCCCAGGAAATGTTTGAAATTTGGAAGTGCAGATGCATCCATTTCCATGCATCCTGGGGGAGTTTGTAGATTCATTCTGTTCTTAGTAAAAAACAAATTTTATGACTAACAATTGAAAGTCTTGTCATTTTCTATGAAAATTTCAATGTTTTTAATACACCGCAATATATATCTGGAGTTCCGTTACTTCTGTGTGAAATTTGACGTACCTTTCCTGACTTTTTGTGAAGTTTAAATTAAAAGTGGCGTCCATTTTGACAAGAAAAGTACACCTTACCCCCTTCTCAAATTTTCATTCGTTTTTTTTGCATCAATCTCAAGAATGACCAAAATGAAACCAAAACCCGGAAATCCGCGAATCCGCGGAAAAATCTCATGTCTGCGAAAGTCATGAAACTGTCGATCACACGCCCGTCCGCACACGTTGTATGAGCACAAGTCTCCCAATATAGTGCTCAGACAGCCTGGGCCACCCTTAAAAAATTGTTTGTTTCCCCTTTACCTACTCGCCTCTCAGGGTACCGAGTAGGTAGGTAGGTGAAAAATCTTTTTTATTTTGTTTTGACAAGATGTGTGTATGTATATTGTATATTCTGTTTTGTGTATATGTTTTTGCGGAACGAATTTGATTTATTTTTTTGGCAAAACGAAATAATTATTGTTTTGTTTTAATCGGCCAATAAAATGTGTCGAGTAGCGGCGTTTTGGCGAGTCGGTCGGTAAAGGGGAAACAAGCAATATTTTATCTTAGGCCTTGTCACTACGCACGCGTATGCCACCTCATAGCAGCAGTTTTCTGGCTTACCGTGATCGGTCCTGAGTAGAGGTCGGAGTCAAGGTCAGTGATGCAGTTCTCATTATCTGCGGTCAGTTCCAACATGAGGTCATAGAACCTGCAACCGGCAACAATACAGGGCATCAGCAACAAGAGCAATCAGAGATAGCAAACCTCCGCCACAGCGTAACAGTTAGTGATGTCACGATCATCGATTATACTCGATCATTGGTTGAATAGTGGCTCGAACCAAGCGCTTGGTTATCAAAATCCATAATCAATTTCATCAAGAAAAAAAAAAAATCGAAATAAATGTCAAACTTGAACAAGAAAACTTATGAAAATCAGAGATATCATCGCTATTTTAGTTCGGGAATTACCCGACATTTGCCGTAGTTACTTCCGTTTAAGGGGCTAAAGCCTAGGACACACTAGGGATTTTATACGCTGGCTAAACAAGCACATACATGCACACACGTACATGCACACGACGTTACGCACACGCAGGCATTCAACACCCCGAGTAACCGAATGTAACCGATCATCGGTTACTTGGTTCCAACCGATGATCGATTACGAAATTACAACCGATTGACAACACTAGTAACAGTCCACCAATCTTTCTGGGGGGAACCCGGGGCAAAGTGGAACTGTCTCAGCAGGTCTATGTTGATGCTGCCATCTATCTGCGACTGTTTTCATTAGAAGCTCAGTTGATGATGCATCATTTTTAATGGACGCCATTTGCATGAATCAGGTATGTAAATTTTTTTGCACGAAAGTCTGTTTTTTATGTGTTTAAACTGAGATTTTTGCTATTTTGTTGAATCTAAGGCCTATGTGTGCCATATGCATGATGACATTCTTTGCGTAGTTGTCTGCACAGCGTAACGCCACATGTATAGAAACTATCATGTGTTCGGGGCAATGTGGATGGAGCAAAGTGGAACAGGGTTCCACTTTGCCCCGGCCATATTTGATAGGCCTAGATGTATTTCATTATTATCAGATTATTTATTATGATCTTAATTAGTACTCTCAGTAGCAGGTATGCCTGTCTTTGCATCATTTTAACACCTAACTCGGTAACATTGGCCTAATTGTGTCTTCCCTAGACTTACATATATGATATTGTATAAGCGTCCTATAATAGCATTTTTCTTTCATATTTTAGGCAAAATGGTACGCAACTATTAATTTGATGTTCAGAGTTAGACACTGAAAGAGAACACAACATTTTTGACACAATATACATGGAGTAAAATTACATCCCACCTTGCCCCATAACAGGTTTCACTTTGCCCCGAGAGTCTGGGGCAAAATTAAATATTTATAACTTTTATAATTTTTTATATTTCAATAAAGTCATTTTTTAGATTAACTTTGCTTGTACCGCCTGTTAGTGCTTGTCCTAAGCCAAAGGATTAGAGCCAAACATTTCACTTTGTCTCACTCTTTCACAGCATTTTGGCCAACCAAATTTCTTCGGTCCACTTTGCCCCGGGTTTTCTACACACAATATAATTTGATGAAATTTTCAAAAATTGGAAAAAATATCCAGGATTTTTTTTTGATGAATTTTGAATGCGTCCGAAGTCTTCCTCACACAAAAAAATAAATAAAAAATCCTGGATCCAGATCTGGTGCTGATTGCACATACCGTTTACGCTGTACCTCGCTGGGGAAGAACAGTTGGAAGTCATCAGAGTTCTGCTGTACGTACAGATAGACACACCTGTCATCCCGCCGGTACAGACTGCAAATAGCAAACATCATCATCACCATCATCACCATCATCATCAGCAGCAGCAGCAGCAGCAGCAGCATCATAACCATTGCCATGAACATCATCACCATGGGCATCTCCACCATCCGTACCATTATCAACATCACTATCATCATCATCACCAGCAGCAGCAGCAGCATCAGCAGCATCAGCAGCAGCAGCAGCAGCAGCAGCAGTAGCAGCAGTAGCAACAGAATGATTATCATTGCTACTGCTATCTTAGTGGGGTATGAAGTATCACGAAAATAGCTCTCGTAGGATTTTTGTGCTAAAATTGAGTTTTTTTTGCTTTATCTTGCTGATTGGGGGTCAAACTATCACACACAACACTACTGTCATCTCACCTGACACTTTTTATCGACTCCACGAGGAACACCCACT